CTTTTGAAGTTGTAAAAGAAATGCACTTAAAAAACAAATTTGCAATTCCTTTTCAAGGCTTTTAAATTCTCTTTCCAGTGTTCGCTCTATAATTTACACAGCGTGCCATAATACACAACCTCCACTAATGTTTCATTACATGTAGGGAGACAAACTGCAACTGCTGTTGCCGGTTGGGTTTTATTAAGAGAACCAATAAAGAACCGTGTCAAAGTAGGAATGCTGATGTAAGGTCACAAGTTTGCCTTGAGAAAGAGAGAAAAATCTCACCTCGATCCCTCAAAACATGCAATACTAGTAATAACTAAAAATTTGTGGTTGACAATTATGCATTTGCTTTTGTTTAAAATGGACACGATTGGAGCTTTTCATTCTTCCGGAGTACTGATGTTATGTATGGCCAAGAAAACCGTGGACCCACTCACAAAACCAACAGTCATCAGTTTCATTTACCGAGTAGTGTGGGTGTGTCTGTGAACCAATAAGCAGACGGACTTCGTCTTTTTCAGAAATACAAAGCAGGCGTATCCATCCTGCCAATTCATTTGTTGTTGACGCTCTGTTGTTGATGCTCACAGCTTTCCCCTCCTGTCATAAATATTTGTCCAACAGAGTTTTTCTATATAAGGCAACGCCAGTAGGAATACTTGTAGTACAAGCTGTATTTTGAGGCAGGCTTTGAGAATTGCGGCCATGCTGCTGTTACAAATACGTAATGTTGAGTGGTGGGAGGTGAAAAAGGTGTATTTTCAATTTCTACATTGTAATGTCCTAATTTTGATACCTTTCTGTGCTCTGGGTTTGTCCTTCCTTAATGATCTCCACTGTGAGTGGCATTAAGAAATGTGCTTGCGCTGACAGCGCTGTCTCCAAAATACCTAATTGGTTGAAAACATAATACTGTTCGCCCACATGCTGTCACTGGACAATGATACCCGAAGCCACCACATGCACTGAATGCGTTTTCTGACATTTTTTCCACACATTTCTGTCAGTGTGAGCGCTCTTATTTAAGCTGTGCCCGTCAGGGTAATTGGGTGGGATATTTGATGCAGGTTTTTGAAATAGCAATGCACGAACCAGTTGAGGTATGAATAAAAAAAAAAAAAGATTCTATCAAAAGGTAAATAAAAGCAAAAAATAATCCCCAAAATACAGCGTGAACCCGCAGACACAACACACAAACTCTGAGAAATGGCTTCCCAAATCAGAATGTATTGTGTTTGCTGCTTCTCATCGAGCCTCGGGGGAAGCGATGTTTATATGGATGATTATATGGGTCTCTTACTACCATATAAAGGTATGCACAAACATTTAAATGCACAACAAACACATGGCCAACAATCTGTGGCTGATTACTGTAGTATATAACCATAATCATCATCATCATCATAACAAATGTTTACCATTTTTCTTCTTTCTTTGTTGTAACGAGGAGGAAAATGTTTGTTGTAAATACAGTTTGGAATGATAATGGTGATGGCAGTAATTATGGTGTTTGACTTTCACTGGTGCAGCCAGTGATAGCTGACAGTCTGCCTTGCTTGTGGATGGTTCTCGACAGTAGAGCAAGAGATGGGAAAAGTGACTCCAGAGAGTCTGTGAAGCGAAGAAATAAAAGGCGCCCGGCCCCACCTCGTGACACGCTAGCGCTCCACAGTATGCTCCCGCCTATGGTGTATGCAAACTGTGAATGACGAATACCAAGAGTGCTGTTCCATCCCTCACACAGGAGGAAAGTACTTGCCAGGGAATGTTTAGTAAGCGCTTGTAAATCTTCCAGCACATAGATTTTGTTTCTCTTTTATTAGACAATACAGATACATGATGAGCAATATTAGAATATTTTACATTTAAGAAAAGGAATGTACTTTCTTAAGTAATGACCTCGCATTTTTTTCACACCCACGTCACACATCCACATCTCTCTGCTTTGCCTCCAGCTCAGGAGCATCCTCCCCCGGTCAGATGCTGGGCCTGCGTAGCAGCCTGGAACTCAAACTGGCCAATAATCAGGGTTTGGCAATTGCCTTTCAGCTGGAGTACGCCTTCTCTGCTCCGATAGGCCGAGGGACTACGGTAAGAGGCACGTTTATAATATACAGTGAGCTCATTTTAAACCCAAATCCTGGCCTGAAATCAAACTCTCGATACACTGGGGAGCAGCCAGAAAGCCTTCTTTGTATAAACTTCTGCTCTTCTTTCCCAAACTGTTTGTAATTTTTGCAAGATACCTGCACAAAGCCCATTCTCCTTTCTTCTGTCTGCCTGTGTTCTTCCACCTCCTCTTTCCTGTTTTTTTTTTATCACATTTGCAAAGCCGAGCTCAGAATTGCACTATCTCAAGTGCTTTCTTTCATTTACCTGTCATCATCTTCCCTTTTTTTCTTCCTTTTCTTTTATACTGCTCTGTACATTATGTTGGTGTTTTACTGTCAGTCATGTATTAGTGTTAGTTTGCAATAAGGGTTGTCATATCATTAGAAATTCAAACTGCACACACAGTAAAATCCAATTTATTATACTATAAGGAGAATAATAAATTGTTACAGCAGTGGTTCCCAAAGTTGGGGTCGGGACCCACATTAGGGTCCCAAATATCAAGGCGGGGTCCTGAAAATATTTTCTGACTTACTTACATTTAAAAATGATACAATTTTATTTTGACTTCGCTGTTACAAAAGAGTAAGGCTAGTGTAATTAAAATAGACAAAATAGCATAATGAAAATACTTACTATGCTGTTGTTTATTTGATGTGAAAACAATGTTCATCAACCAACAACAGCTGGGGGGCTCAGGTCTCTGCCACTAGCATTTTGTGGGTTAAAAGCTGAAAAGTTTGGGAACCACTGGACAGGATGCTGACTAACTTTTTTTCCTCTAGTATCATTTGTCCTGAAAATTGTGTAATATTTTATTTAGGAATGTCACTTTACCTTCCTGATGCCCCTTGATCGTTTTGACTCAAAGGCCGTATGAGGATTTTATCATAAGGTTTTAGTTCTTTTGTTATCTTGTCTGCACCGTGTTAATGGCAGTGCTTTTCTATAACAGACAATTAAAAAAAAGTAAAAATTCAACCTACCATTCATTAATTTTATTATTGGTTTTTTGTTTTGTTTTGTTTGCTTTTTTGCATAAATGTTGCTTTTGTTCATACAAATTAAGCAGATTTGGAACAGGCATTTGCTGCAAACCACCACTGGCAAAATTTCCCCCAAGGAATAAAAATTTCATATTGATACCATACCACTTAACAGACCTTTATGACATAAAAAAATAAACAAAAACACAAAATGGCTGTGGTAAATATATGTGTGGGTGAGCCCTCAACTACTTCTCTGTAGAACTGTGTGTTGTCTCAAACACAGGCAGGTGTCAACAGAACATCAATTAAAAGCACAAAACAAGCAGCCACAGAGTCCCTGGAACAATGTGCTACATCTACATTGCTGTTTTTATTCATTCTTTGCTTTCCATTGCAACCACTTCACATAGAACCTAATAGGTAGATTTCTGCTTTATTTTATTTTTTATTTGATTCACAGTGGATAGATTATTCATTGAACTTGTTGACACACAATTTTATGATTAAAGTAAATTTGACTATTTCTAAAGCCAAAGTTTATTCTAATAAAAACAACTAACCAAAACTTTAGTGAGATATAGTTGCGTAAATAAGTCAGGAATCACCAAACTCCAATCAATTAATGCATATCTGCTTGAGAGGCCTGGAACTGTGACCATTTACACATCTGTTGAGAGGTTAGTGTGAGAATGGTGGGAAGGTCGTCAATGTGTACTGAAGCTAAACCTGGACCTATAGTTATCAAAGAAAATTCTAGTGGTATAAAGAAGCAGTTTGCCAGTGTAGGAAAGAAAAATAGTATATGTAGCACAAGACTTTTTCACGGAAATCATTTGATTTACAGAACTTGCCAGTATTGGTTCAGGGTTTGAATGATCAAAGGCCTGGTGGTTTTAAAAAGCTCTCAGCTCAGTTAGGCAGCGGTGCATTTTACAGACTCGCTGTCGGTGTCTTTGCTCTTCAAGCTCAAAAGAAACATTAAGATTTTGGTATCGTCCTGAGGGAACCTGAGCGTTAGCCTTTGTTTCTCCTAAATGTCAGTTTTGTGCACAAAGTATTTCACATCAAATACTTTGATTCTTTCAAAACCAATTTTTTTGTTTGCATTTAATAAAAACAAATGTTTTACCTGAGTTGAACTCTCCACTTGCCATTAGCTTAGAACTGCAAGCTGGAGTAACAAAACACTGACTGATGATGTTGGATTGTGGTCAGTTCAAAGCTGCATTTATTTTTAAATTTTCTTATAACTACATCTGTTTTTCACTTACTGATTTGGTGAAACTAAAAAAATTAAAAAGGTTTATGTATGTTTTTATCTACAGGTTCATGTAGGCATTAAAAAGGCACCACAAGCAGTTGTGCAAGCAATGAAAGATGGTAAATTATATTTTATATTATGCATGTAAAAATATGTTGCATTTATATTTATAAAGGAAATAAAAATCGCAACCTTTGGTTTGCAACGTAGAAGTACCTAACTGTTAAGATAATCTTTAAATTCACATATTGCATGTAATATACTATTACTTAGTATTGCTTTATACGCTTGAAAAAAAAACTTCTATATACAAGGATTTGCAGAGGCTTGTTGAGCAGTCACAGAGCAGTGAAGAACCTCATTCATCCTTGAGTAACATATTGATAAGCTCATTTATTCACATGAACCAGTAAACTTGTTTTCTCTGGCCTTCATTAACATTAACACTAGATGGTGCTGCGTAGTGCAACATTGGGGAGCAGCCTCCTATGTAGGGCCGTGCTTGTGTGGTAGGAACATGGAGTCTGCCTGTTTATTTGTTCTTTTCTCAGATTTAATAGACTGATTTCTTTTGATGTATTCTGAGGAGGCTAAGGTGGGTGAAAAGAGACTAAAAGTAGTTTGCTGAAATCCCTTTTCGCTCTCAAAACATTACCGCTGCAATACAGAGACAATCACCCAGTGCTCTGAGACTGCCTACATGCCTCCTCCTTGCTGTGTTGAAAGCTGGTCTGCTTCATACTGTAAGGCGAAAAACAAGGATGGCCTCCTTTTTTGCAAAACTATAATGCCATCTTTGCCTTTGTTGTGAAAAAAAAACTCACGCGGTGTCGTCATTTGTCTTCTTTGGTATATTTGGAGTTCATTTGCAGTTTGGTTGCTCTTTCTGTCTCGTCTCACTGTGTCTCGCACGCTCTCTGCTAAAACCTCTGAGTATCATTTTTTTTCATGTTCATAGCAGCAATCAGCGGGATGAAGATAACTGTTCAAATGAAGCAGGCTGGGGAGAAAAGAGAAACTGTGAATATGCCTGATAGGCTGTTCTCAGAGTGTCTGAGGTTAATGAACTTCAAATAATCAACTTCTCTTGCAGTCAGATACAACATGTCCACTTCCTGCCTTCCACTGTGTCCTCTCCTCTGAGTGATTTACTGATTCAGTGTTGTATAACCCTGCATACCTCTCACTGCTTATGAACTGTGCACAAGAGGAGCTCTGCACATCCATGGTTTAGCACCTTGTTTCACAACACGTTGCTGCCTGGCTGTGAAGGAACAATAGCTGTGTTTTCATCAGCTTGTTTTAGGTGCATTTTGAAGTATTGCATTATAAAAGGTTGATGGAAACGGCAAAATTCGAGAAAAAAAACCTCAATTTCGCAAAAAAAGTTTTTACGCTCGCTTGAGGTGGATTTTGGATTTTAGTTAGTGCGTAAAAGGGGGAGATGGAAACACATGCCAAATAAGTTCTGGCGTAGTGAACATGTACCTCACATAATTGATCAGCTGCTCCTGTTGTTGGCATCCTCCTGGATATTCCCATTAAGAATAGAAGAATAGAATAGAAATAGCCTTTATTGTCCTGCAGAGGGGAAATTCAGGTGTCACAGCAGCATCAGTACAGAGGTTCACACGCTAGTTACTTTACAAACTATAGACAGCACACACACACACACACACACACACACACACACACACACACACAAAAAAAAATCAACATAAATACTGACTATGATATGACTACTAGTAATAAAAATTTTATATAAAGAATTGTGCAAGAATAAAAAAGATATGTTTTGTTAGAGACAGTAGACTATCAGACATTAGGAATCAGAATTTTCCTATTTTCAGTGCAAAATAATCTCAAAAGACTGTTAACTGTAAAGTATCACTATTAACTGTAAAGTGTCACAGTGCAGACAATAAACACAGATGTGAAATTACAGCAGAATTATTTTAAAAGTTTAAAATGGATAACAAAAGATCAGGTGATTGCTCAGATTAGTAATAATATAAATGAGCAGTAGTGCAAATGATTGTTCAGATGTGTAATGACAATGAACAGTAACAGTACAAATGATTGGTGACAGGTGTGTAAACACTTATTATGATTTTTGAGTGTGGTGCTGGTTATAGTGTCTGACAGCTGCTGGGAGGAAGGATCTACAATAGTGCTCCTTTGTGCACCTCGGATGCAGCAGTCTGTTGCTGAAGGACCCGAAGAGAAAAGCATTTCTTTCTCTATGTCTCCGGACAGCATGTAACATCAATAAATATACATGAAAACATTACTCCATTGTCCCGAGGTGTGTGTCCCTGCTAGTTTGCAACCTCTACTTCTTGTTTACTACAGCCATCCGTAACGACAACGTCTGATGTAATTACACTTCGTGTCGCCTGGTTAATTCTCTCCAAAGCAGTAGATGAGCCTGATTCGCATTTCTTCTTTTTTTTTTCAACATTTTAAAAGTTCACTCAAAATTCACATTACAGTTGGGTGGAAACACGGCTAATGTAGAAGAAAAAGGGGCACAAATGGCAAATTTGCTGTAATTGAAAGTCCCATTTGTGCTTATTACTATAAATATAATACATTCAAACAATAAATCATTAGTAACTTTTGTCTTTTTGATAGATGGATGGATGGATGGATGGATGGATACATACATACATACATACATTCATACATTATACAGTTCTGCTGTGTAAATTAGCTGTCCTGGGCCCTAC